AGATGTTGGAGCTTGGCCTGTTGTTGCTCCGGGATGGCGCCTAATAAAGGGCCCCTGACTCTGCACTCCTGGATCGGGTTAGAGCTAGAGGGTTAAGAATCCACAGCTGATCAGAACTGGTTATGACCTTTCATTTCAACAGCCAGTCCACTGCCTAATGGCGGAAGAAAATAATGGCGTAATAATGGTGTAATGGTGTAACATGGGTGAGCTCAACTGTCCGTTTTTTTTTTTTAAGTGAGGCTTAAATTTAATCTAGGAAATGACCATTCGGCTCCTTGGGACACTGGAGAAGGGTTATACTATGTAAAGAGGGAGCATGGCCGACATGATTGAAGAACGCCTGAGTCATCTTTGTACTAAGGTAGGTTTTCCTGAGGGGATTTCTTCCTCCTCTAAATTCTTAGGACACCTTCAGACAAGATGGGAGAGAGTTTGCATCCTTTATTCATCTTACTTTACAGCTTAAGCTTTGTTTCCTAAGCATTCTGGATAACATGCGAAGCACTTTAACATAGATCTGACAAACCTACTGTAGGAATAATTTATAGGATAACTTTGTTGATTGTTTATTTTAGTTTATTTGTGAATTGTTTCATGGGACATAATAACTAACCGAGCAATGGATCGTTTCTCTATCCACAAAAGGAAAACATCAGATTTTCCATCTAGTTGAGAATAGCTGATATTCATTAAACAACGCTGAGGATATAAACTCTGTCAGTTTACGACAGCTACGATGCTTCCTCCTCCAGCTCAGACACTCGGCCTAGAACCGCACCGCAGTCCGAGTCAGAGAGATAAGAGGATAAAACTGTGCTCCAGGTCTTAGCCAAGGAAAGGGGTGTTTAAGCCCCCCAGCAACATAGCCTTTGACACTGCTCAAAATAAAGTCTGCATTATTAAAGACACTTACCTGTTGGTGTAGGTGCAAATCAGGATTTTGTTATTAGGATTCCTGCAAAGCTCCATGGCTGCCGTTGCCATGGTGAAGGTCTTCCCTGTTCCAAAAGGTCCATAAATGAGCAGCGGCGCTGTGAACTTCTTCTTATCGTGGTTCCCTGTAATGAAGCTCAATGCAGACTGCTGCTTGGCGTTCAGCTTCTCGTAGGTGACATCGGTGACAGGAACTGCACAGTTCTGGAGGTCTGGTAGAACTCTGCTGGTATCTGGGAGGAGGTCTATGGCTTTGTGCATGTTACATAAGAAGTGGCGATCCAACTGAAACTGCACCTCCATTTGATAAGACTCATTGTTTTGAAGAGCAAGATCAAAACAGCACTGTTTAGAGAGCTGAAGGAATATTTGGTTCTCATTGGTTCTCAGCTGCAGGACCTTGGCCTCATAAACCTTAGAGTTAGGATGCAGCGAGTCTGAAGGAGCTATCAGGGCACACTGGACGCTTCGTTTCAGTGCCAGTCCTTCAGGACTGTCCATGGTGAGCTTGTAAGGACTGGAAACAGAACAGTAAAGTTGCCCTTGAGGGGCAAACTCCATCTCAAAACCACTGTTCAGTTTATCCATGGTTGTTATTTGCCCACAAACATTGAGTCTAAAAGAAAGAAGACAGACTGTTTAAAAACTGAACCCAGTGTGAAACCTGTTAGAGAAAGCTTGGAAGATCAGGACTTTACCTTGAAACCACTTGGTCCTCTGCTAGTTCCTCATTGTACAGGAACTCATGCATCTTTGCCTTGTAGTTTTCAGCTGTTAGAGCTGTCTGGTTGTTGCTCGGCCGTCTGTAGAGAACACTGAGCTCTGGAGGCTTGTACTCCTTCCAAAGCTCCTCCTGTTTTTCTGTTCTGAAAGAACAGGGTATTATTACTCTGTTCCCTCGAGTCCAGCGCTCTGTACTTTCAACAATGACCCCCTGGTTGAAGACGGGCTCCTTGGCGTCGTCTGCTGATTGCTGGCCAACTCTGACTTTGAGTTTTTTCAAGAGGACTGGTCTCATTTGAAAATCTAGCACCAGCCACTGTTCATACAGGCCTGGGTGCATAGATGTAAAACACACAGTGATGACATAGGTCCCGCTGGGGGTGAGGAATCTTTCCCCGGTAGAGTAGATGCATGGTTCAGAGCTGTCAGCAGCACCAAGGCTGAATGAAGCTCCAGGTTCCTGCTTCAGCAGTGCAACATGCACCAACTGTCTCTGTGGAAAAAACAGAAGAGCTTCTGTTATTTCAAGGCCAAACTCCAACTTTTAGGACTTTCTGTGAATTAATCTACCTCCGTCTCAACCGTGAAGTTCCATGAGAGTTTTGCATTGATGTTTTCACTCTCTACACTTAAATCTTCATCACAGGAGATGCTGACATCATCAACATTTTCAGACAACTGTTTAGACAATCAGAAATGTTAATTTGGTCTGAAACTGAAGCCATTCTTATGATCTAACAGCTTTCTTCTTCTGAAGTCTGAATACTTTCTTTACTCCGCAACACATTTACAACAAAGCATCATACTCACCACATAGACTTCATTGCTGCTGTTCCTGTACTCGTCTAGAAGCTGCTGGTTGTAGCACATTAGGCCCTCAGTCTCCATGCTGCATCGGATCTCCTTCTCCTCTGCAGATCTCATCATCCACTCCTTAAGCTCCTCCTCAGAGTGAGCTTTTGGACAGTTTGAGCCGTATTCACAAGTCTTTGGTCTACAATTCAAACATCGTGTTAAAAGTGCAATGAAAATATTCATCTGATGTAAAATTGGTTCACTGTTCGAAGACGTCCAACAGTCAGGTAGTGTTTTGACTCCATTTGCTCTAATAAAATAGAAATAAACTGCTGCAAAAACAAGGGGCAGTGTAACAACTGCTGAGTGACATTATTTATTAGCATTCTTTATCCAAAGCTGAAGATTTGCCTGAGGGAAACAAGGCAGAGGCATCACTCTGCTACTGAAGCTCCATGGACAATAGACAACCGCAGGACTGTATAAAAACATGAACTTGAACTGGAAACCCCAGGTCAACACAGACAACTTGGTTAAAGCTTAATGGGTTTTACTCAGGTTTGAAATCTCTGGCTTATCTGCAGATGATGACGAGACCCTAAATGTCCTCCATCTTTCTGACTGGACTGAAATCTGCTGAAGCCAGAAAGTTGCAGGAAACAATGGAAAAACAAAGTCTCGTTACTCAAAGCTGCTCCTCAGAGATTCTCTGTGTGGAGTCAGATCTATTTCCCTTTTACAGAAATCATGATAATATTAATTGAACTTTATGGATCTTAGAGAAATCTGCATTTATCCCATCCGCTTGGGGAGCAGTGGGCTGCCATTGTGTGGCACCCGGGGAGCTATGTGGGGTTAAAGGCCTTTGCTCGGACACGCAGAATGGCAGGCTGTGGGAGTGGAGCTCAAACTCAGAACCTCAGGATTCCAAGCTCTATGCCCTAACCTCTAGGCCACCACTCCATCATTCTGGTCCTTTGTTGAACAGTGACTTTAGATCGGCGGCTTTAACCTCGTTGTCTTTAAAGTTGCTGAATTCTGCCTTTAAATGACCTAACGACCTTGGACCTGTCTTCTGGAAATCCCTTCAGTGCCTCTTTTGACTTCTAATCTTCTGGCCTGGAAACCTGCTCATGGTTCCACTCTGGCTTGGATGCTACCTCTGGATTCCTCGGCTCCTCTGCATGCTCTGGCTTCTGCTTGTCATTGCTCCACTTCTCCCCTAGAACTCTGGAAGCGGCTCCATCGCAAGCCATTCCTCCAGACTTCATACCTTCTTCTGGGCTCAGACTGAACTTTACCAGGTTAGGGTAATAATCATGTTTTTTCACCCACAACATTTGATCGCTGCTGCACTTTTAGAAATGGAAATGTCATGAGATCTGTACAACGAAATTTGGGTTTGTATACACTCTGTGTAAACAAAATGACAATAACAGTTGTCTAAGTCTTAGTTAGATCAGAGGTTCTCAAACTTTTGGGGGCCAGAGACCCCTTAGCGGCAGCCACATGTTTTCAAGGACCCCTTTCCTTTTAGATTCCTAATGTTGAAAGCCTTTTGTACTCATAAACACATTTGGAGAATTTAAAACTAAATTCAGTAATGAGAAGATTTGGCTTTGTTAATAAGTTTCTCAGTTATATTCAAGCTATTTATTCCTCCCCTATAGCTAGAATAAAGGTAAATGGCAGTCTTTCAGATCCTATTAGCTTGGAGCATGGATGTAGACAGGGCTGCCCTGCCAGCCCTAGTCTCTTCACCCTGGTCATTGAACCTTTGGCACAGGCCATAAGGCAGGAGGCAAAACTGAGAGGTATCTCCATAGGTGGAGAGAAATACAAACTAAGCCGATATGCAGACGATGTACTTGTAACATGTCTGAACCAGTCTCTGGCCTACCTATTTTAATGGACATGCTGGAAACATATGGGAAATATTCAGGTTATGTTCTTAATATAAATAAAACTCAGGTTATAACATTTAATTTTGCTCCAACAGGAACTTAAAACAAAATATACTTTTAGCTGGCACTCAACCAGTATATTTGATTAAAGATTTGTCTCAGTTATTCCAATGTAATTATAACAATGTTAGTAAAAAAAATATGAGAGGATCTGAATAGATGGAGTCTCCTCACCCTTGACTTTGGCAGTAGAATAAGAACAGTTAAGATGAACATCATGCCCAGATTACTTTATCTTTTTTGTCACTTCCTATAGATATCCCTACAAAACAATAGCCAATAAGAGGCCAAGGGTTAAATTTTCCACTCTCCAGTTGCCAAGGTTGCAGGGTGGGGTATAGCACTCCCATCTATAAAGGACTATTATATATCTGCTCAGCTAAGGCCACTTGAATCTCTATGCAACCCATCTTATACAGCGTAGTGTAGAAAGAAAGTGGAAAGATATAGAGACATCTTTAACACATGTCCCCTTACAAGCATTTATAGGCTGTATTGACAGGGATATGGCAAGACCACAGACAGAGAGCAACTGGGTGAGCTTATCATTTAAGATATGGCTTGAAATAGTTAAACGCCATCAGCTCCAGAGGGAGGTAAAACTACTCAATTGGCCTGCTTCTGATCCTGACTATAAGCCACCATTGGGTCCATCATGGTATCACATCTCTATGTACAATAGTTAAAGATGGAAAACTTCATAGTTTTGAACATTTAAGTAGGGCCCATGGTTTGAGGAGACAGGATTTTTACAGGTACTTACAAAGGTCTGATTATTTCTGTAAAGAGGTTAGGGACTCTGAAAAGAAAGGTTGGTCTAAGGTTGTTCAGTTATTTGTTGGAGCGTACAACTGCATGAGCAGTAAAGGACTGATAAGTAAACTGTACCACGCTGTCACATCTCTTAAGAAGGACTCAATAGAATATGTGAAGCAGCGTTGGGGGGAAAAAAACTGGACATTGTAATAACATAAGACATATGGACGAATTCTTGGAATCACAGTCAACTACTACAAACTGATTGGGGTGGAGAGACTTCTGCTGGAAGAAACTGATCTTCTTATAAAAAAGTTCTTTATAAGCCCTAAGAAGAGGAACAAACACACAGACACTCAGCTGGGATGCTGGAGAGAATGTGGAGAAAACATGGTGGACCATGCGCATTTGTTTTGGTTTTGCCCCTCCATCCACACTTGGCAAACGTTATTGATAAGGTCTTTGGTTATAGTGTGGATGTGACTTTTTTTTCTGTATTTAGGTCATTTTCCTGAGGAAGATGATGAGTATCTCTTAAAAATTATGATGTCAGCAGGGAAAATGGTAAATGTTCTGTACTTATATAGCGCCTTTATTCAAGTCAGGAGACTTGACCAAGGTGCTTTACACTACATTCATTCACCCATTCACACACACACTCACACACTGATGGTGGCAAGCTACATTGTAGCCACAGCTGCCCTGGGGCTCACTGACAGAAGCAGGGCTGCCGTACACTGGTGCCACCAGGCCCTCTGACCACCATCAGTAGACAATGCAGGTGAAGTGTCTTGCCC